CCATACAAAGTCCCTCACATCCTAACCTACTTCTCCACCTCTACATGAAATCCTAGTAGAGGTTGCCAAACATCCTCGTGCCAAATAGAAGCTCCGTGATGTCATAATTTCACAAATCTGACTACTTCCTCCAGGGCACGATGAATGTGGTGCTTACTAGACACATTAAACCACAGATATTAGACTCAGTGGTGGATGAACTGTCTTGCAGCACTTGTAGGCAGATGTGAAGGTACGGCCTTGCGACCTGAGGGTCTTCGACCATCTTCTATCGATGTATGAAGATGAACACATATTCTCGAGAAAATGTCCCGGATCCCTTCATAATAAGACAAATGTGGCTATTTTTAGCATCATGGATAGATTTGAATTCGAAGGTGTCCAGGTATAGATTAATTATTTGGGTCTTTTCCCGAGGATTCTTCATACCATCCTTTAGTTTGTGATCGCTATCATGATGAGTTGTCTTGGGGGCTTAGAAGATTTGGATAGCAAATTACCTAACGATCCAGATTGTTACAGATTTCATTGGTCATGCACAGCTGGACGTTCGAATAGAGTTAAATGTACCCGCTGCTTGTGGATACTTATGTCACGCGTTGCAGTAGGACCCCCCCCCCCCCCGCAAATACCCGAGTTTCTCGACGACAATGTATTTGAAGTTTATATTGTAGGGAGGAAAACTCTTCAATTGGAAAAGATAGCCCTTTCAGTAGTGGTAAAGAGATCCCGCTTCGCCAATATCACTGAAATAGCACACGAGTTTGGGCACGAGTGAATAGTGTAGAGAATAAAAAATCGGTTATAAATTGACCAATCCATGAATGTGACAGGCATTCTTATTGATCAGTGATAAACTTACCAGCAATCTAGTATAGAAGAGTACAAGACTATTCCCTCTTAGAGGAATAGAACAGTTTGGTAAAGCGACGAAACTGGATCTTTGGTGGAGTCTTCATATTGCTTGGTAGTTAGGTGTTACTTATCACCAATCCCGACCTACAAGTATTTTAAAATGGGCTTCGAGAATACCTCCAACATTTCGATGAATTGGTTAGAATTCTGGTAACCTGTGGTTGCTTCTAAGCGTAGCCAGTCAGTGCTCATGAACACCCTGCATTCCATCTAAAGATTCCACATTCCGGGAGCTTCTTAAAAGCCCGCCGTGATTACCCTCGTTTTATAATTCTTCGGCGCGACAAATAGTCCTTTTGCCTCTACACAAACTCTCCCTTCTAATGTTTCCAGACGTCCTTCTACCCATCTCTTTCTTTCTCCACCTCCCTCCTCTCCTATGACTGGTGTGCATCTCACTACGTAGAATGCATTGGTCACACTTGGCTTCAAATATTGTAACGACAATTGAGCAGTGACACCTGTCCCCGCGGCCAATTGTCTGATCGCACATCTCCCCAGTGATTCATCCATAATCGTCGCTATAAGACCTCCATGCACCACACCGGGCCATCCTCCTAATGCCCCTCCTAAGTATACAATCGATATGAACTCTCCTGTGGTAGAATTATAAAATACTCGTTGATACCCGCCTATCGATCTAGATCCTCTCAATGGACCAGTAGTAAGTCGGTGCGGACGTTCTTCGGGTGTGAATGTGGAATAGGCATCCCAAGATTGCCAAACGGGATCCTCAGTAAGGGATTGTACCAGTGGGATCTTTGAGGCCTGCGCGTGTAACCAAGAGGTCATGAGTTCGTCTGAGGGAGAAGAAGGTTCGGGGAGTGCAGGGGGAGATAGGACAAGCGAGACATATTGTCCAGTTGTGAGTCCAATTAGGAGGAAAAGAGAGGCATAGATTGTGGGACGGAGGGATCGTTTTCGTTTGGGAGATGAAGGTGAGGGTGTTGGCGCGACGGATCCAGAAGAGAATTGAGATCGCAGATCTCGGTGTTGGGGTATTGATTGAGATGAAGACTCGGTAGTGGCATTAATGTTATGATTTATAGGCTGTGGTGGTGGAGGTGTTGAATATGCTCGCGTTGACCATCTTGAGAGAGATTGTGATCGGAACGGATGTCGATATGTTTGAGAAAAGTGCGGTGGTTGTTGAAGAATACTTTTGTATGAACGCAATGCTTGAATTGGCAGTCTGGCAGTCATTTTGTGCCAATTTATTACAAAAAGAATGTCTTGATCTCTCTACTATTGAACTCCATACAATTTTGGAAGCTTCAAATTAATCAAGGGCCTCGGTCTAATTTCTGACGCCATGCTAAGGTTATGTAGGCTATTTTGCCTCAAATACAAGGCATGACATTGTACATCAAGGTCTCCATCTTTAGGGTCTGCTGTGCCTATATTCGACGATTTGGTCAAGCCAAGCCATCGAAAAGACAAATCAAAATACAAAAGAAGGTAGTTGGGCTAGCTCTAATTCGAAGAAACGTTGTTCTCTCTCGATGGGTAATCTCAACCACGATGCCAAACTCTTGAGCGGCGTTAGTTCTCCAACAGTTGGATGAGTTGTACGTTGCAAAAAGATGGAATTTTTGTTTCTACTTTTCTTTTATCAATGCATTGTCTCTTTTGATCTTGATTTGCATTCTCATAGTTCATATTTGAGTTTATCATCATCATCTGCATATCTATCTTGAGACAAAGTTTTGGAAAGGATAGAAATGGTTTTGCGCTTCTGAGCTATAAGACCAAACAGATGGCGTCCATCAAAGGCATCGAGACGGCCGTCGTCCTATCATTGATTTTCGCTACTGGTGAGTCTTTTTGGTCGATTTCATCTTTGTCTCCCAGTATATATACCGGGATCAAAGCTTCCTGCGATTACTTGGTGGTATGAGTTTTACTTCGATGTTGTTCATTAGATGTTTTCAGGATCTGAAATCTCTACGAGTGATATGATAGTTTTCAATCATGCCGTAGAGTTCGTTTGGTAATGTAACAGCACGGATCAGGCCCCATGATTTGTGTCATTCCAGACGAGCTCCACACAAAGGATGTTGGGTTCTTGTACAGTGTATATGCACCAATAACGTCTCATAGGGACAATTATAAATATCAGCTGTCTAGTCTTCAACTAGAAGGTTGCATGGGCACAACAGCAAGCTATTGCCCTAATAAGAGAAGGCGCGATGCTCTAAGCCTGCTCTTCGCGAAATGTAATTTTCTACACTTGGAACAACTCCCTGATCTATCCCCAGTGATTGAAGAGAGAAATTGCCTATCATTCGGAGTCACAGCTAGAACGGCATGTATTGCGCAAGAAAGCTAACTTACGCTCCTTTGCAACACGTCAGCTCCGCGTTGGGCAAGCATGCGGGCAGGCCTACATCATTCCTCCATGTACTCAGAGCAGCACAACTATTCTCGGTGTTTGAACCGCTCAAAATATTTTTCCAGATCCTTTCGAACTCGATTCAGAACACTATTTGCAGGAAGATTATTGCGAGTGATACAAATTCCAATTCGCCTTTGGCAAAAGCGGTCGTGAATGTTTAGGAATCGAGCTTGCACGCGCCAAGCTATACTTTGCGACAACAAAGCTTGTACCAAGATTTGAGATGATGTTATTTGAGACAGATGATAGTGATATATTATTTCTGCATGATTATCATATCATCATGTCCAGGAATGGATTGCCAAGGCATCAGAATTATGTCGAAGTAATGAGATTATTCATAGTATGCATAGAAGTACATATCATGTGTTATGAGCCCTGTTTGGCTCGATAGTGGAAAGTACGGACAGCTTGCTGATGTGAAACTCGAATGGCCACCATATACTTGAAATAGGTTCGAATATCAAGTCGAAGACATCAAAGACTTGAACATAGAGAAGAGAGGGATTGTTGAGTATTTAATCATTCATTGACCCCAGGGCGATCTATGTACATGCATTGAATATCGCTTTTCCGATTTTTACCACGATTAAACCACAACTCAATCTCTCCACGAAGTAGTTTCCCAGTCTTGAAACCCACTTTCTCGAGCACTCTGGCACTGGCATCATTACCAGGAGTATAAGCCGCTACAATTTGCGGCAAGGACTTCTTTTCTATAATAATTTCAGTCCTGGCTTCATTGCAACGTTCCAGTCTCTACATTCTAACAAGCAGATGTGACAAACCTTCAAGAGTCCAGAACATCTCTACAAACAACCTTAACGCTTCTGTCATATACCCCTTACCCCAATGGTCTGGATGAATCTTATACCCCACGTTCTCCGGTTTATGGGATATTCCGATGATACCAATCATTTCCATCTCTTGCCCTTCTCTCTCATCCGCCACGGACACTGGAACGGACGATGTAGTCGGGGCCATGATTGCCCACATTGGAAATTGGACGCTGGACATACTTTCCAAGATCCTTTCTTTTGTCTGCTCGAGTTGAGTATTCGGTGCTCGGGTACTACGCAAGTCATGTAAGGTCGGGGTTCACTTTAGACTTCCACAGCTTAACTTGGGAGCCTTACGACCATTCCGCGATACGAGGCTCGGATAGAATCTTGTGACAGCCATGAAGGTGCTTTTCCAGATTGATAGGTTCAAGGGTTAGACGGTCAGATTTTATTGTGTGTGACGACATGATTCTTATACTTGATAGTGATACGGATAGTGAAGTGAGAAGAAATATATGAATGGGGAGTCTCTCAATCTTTGTCTTATGAACAGCGAAAGGGGTCGTATATTCGTTTGATATGAGATGCACATTGCGCAGTGACTCATGTAATGAAAAATACCTACCTGATTGGTTGTTACAGTCAGCATGTTCTACACCCTTGTAATCCCACCTTGATGAAGTTGGGGGTTAGATATCAGTCACGCTAGTGTACCTATCAAAGAACAATGACGGCAAATGTGAATAAGGATAGCATAGACTTTCTGAGATTATTCAACGTAACGAAACAGTAAAGAATAATTAGGTGAGAATAGTCGACTTCAACGGTCAATTAATTGACACGATTTTTTGGTGGTTGAGGAAGGCTTTGTAAACCAGCACGTCTACCGGTTGACGGTAGAATAATATTCACACTGGTCTCGACAGCAACCATTCTCTGTGCCTCACAGGTTTCTTCTCCTTTCCCCCTTTAACCCACATTTCGTGTTCCTCATCTTCCAAGTCTCCTTCTCTAAACCCTACCTTCTTTACTACTCTCTGACTGGCAACGTTCTCGGGGTCTATAGCCGCCACTAATGTGTTCCAATCTCCCTCTCCTGTATTCCGGTTAGAGAATTAAAGAGCATAACTGGAGTCGATTTCACATACTCTCTTTACTCCAGTAAAGCCCCACAAATAGCTTCATAGCTTCTGTAGCAAAGCCTTTACCATGATAACCAGCATGTATACCATAACCAATTTCCGCCCCGTGCCCAGCCTGGAATCTTATCACTCCAATTGCGCCAATGAGCTCAGGCTTTTGATCGGCAGGGGTAGCTGTTGTCGGCCGAAGTAGAATTGCATAGTTCTCAATCCACGGCTTTTCGGGGTTCGGGGTTCTTTCAATCATGTATGCTTTACTCTCCTCGATGGACTCGCTTGGTTTTCTAAGTTGAGTTGAGAGTTAGACATATCCATCTTGGAGATCAAGAGTGGGCAAAATCGAAAGGGTTCATCTTACGTCCATGAAGCAGCTCGCGGATCAGAGATCATTTTGTGATAGCCATCGAGATGTTCCTCTACGGTCAATGGCTCTAGCCAAAGACGCTCAGATTGAGCTGCGTATTGTGCCATTGATATCCTGAAGGTAAATCGAATGGCTCCATGGCGCCGGTCGCTATATATAAGAGAGATTGAACCCTTTGTATTAACGGCGCTCGGAATCGAGTCATAGTGAATTCTGAGTCACCACCAAAAACCTTAACTTTTGATTACTCCGTACACAATTCGGAGATTCCGAGGATATAGTGGCATCAACAGCGGAGTTGATAGATAAGCTTTGAACACGGCCTACCCCGCCTCTACATCAACGAAATAACAGGCGGGAATTGACCACCATTCGAAAGAATTTCAATAACCAAGATTTCCTCTTGATATAATATTAAACAGTAAAAACATTTAATATCAATACAAAGAAGACTCAAATTTTCGTATGCTTTACAAAAAAAAAAATCAAAAAAAAATCAGTATTTAATTTGAAATGAATTTATAATCTATTCAAAAAGTTCTTCGAAAAGATACCCAATTTCCGCCTGCTTTTTCGCTTATGTAACCTAGAGCCTGCTACGAATGTATTTTATCAATAAATTTAGTAAAGGAACACTAAAATATTTCCAACCATGTAATTAATTACCCACTGTCTACCTAAAATTTCTTTCTCTTCTCTCCCTCACATGAGATGCTTTGAATGCTAAAAGTATGAGCATGTCCATCCTCACTCATACATGTTGACGATTTCACAATGTAGAACGCTATATTGCATTGCAACTTACACGTCGCAGATGATCTTGCTTGATAAACCGCAATCGGCCCAATGAAAAGGTATAAAAATGGGTGGCCACCATCCCTACATGAACGATTGGGGCTGATATAAATGCTTCATACATACCGGTCTTCAATTCAGCCAAACCTTTTTCATTGGTGACCTTTCATAGGGGCGGCTCCCCGAGGCATACTTAGGTACTTGCTTTTGGGAGGCTGTGTAGAGCTGACATGCAGAAATTCATCGGCATCTTCTTGCAAAATTAAATCTAGCTCACACACCGAATTTTTCTGATGCCAGGAAGTGATGCTCGTTCATTTCCGCTTCATAATCATTGAATCACAACATTTGGTTGCTAAGTAAAGATCGAATTTTGTTGAAGTCAATACCGCACTGCTAAATTCTGATGGGCAGAGCCTCAACGGACTAGATTCCAGGGAGATTATTCGCCGAAGAACATCAAAACCATATTCAAAATGACCACACCTGGAGCTGCACCTTATGTCAAAACGTAAGGCAATTATTGCATCTCCCATTGGGAGGCATCTACTGACGTGACAGACAATCTGAGGACCTGTGGAATGAGGCTCTTAAACAAGTCCAGTTCACAAATACTTCAGCACTCGTCGCTGCGGGCTTAGAAAGGCGACAAATCTTGGTAGAAATCTTGGATTTGGTGCAAAAGCAGGAACTCAAGGCTCAAGAAAGGAAATGGAAGTGGAAAAAGAAAAATGGTCAAGTGATCATTATTCGCGATATCTTTGTTAAGCTTGCAATTTGGATTGAAAAGTTCAAGTCTATTGGGGATGTTGTTGTGCAATATGATCCAATCCACGCGAGTTTACCATGGGCTGCTGTCAGGTTTTTATTGCAGGTATATGATGTACCGCTGTGATTTAAAATTTGGTTATTAATTGCATCGCAGGCTGCTATTAGCGATATCAACTCAAATGGTGCTATCCTTGAAGGCATGGAGATTGTTGTCAATCTTCTAGCACGGTATGAGATCGTGGAGTATCTCCACCTACAAAAAATATCGCGCGCGAAGGCTCTTCTGGCCGATGCGATTGTTAAGCTATATACTGCCATTTTGGACTACCTTTTCCAAGCGCATGCATACTTCGAGCCTCATATTCTGAAGAAAATTGCGCATAGCTTCTTTCGTCCAGAAGAATCAACACATAAATTCATATCGAGCATCAAGCAAAATGAACTGGAAGTTGAGAAATATACGCGCCTCGTCTCTGATGAATCCCTTGGTAAGATTGACAGAAACATGAATGCTCTCACACAATCTATGGATGTATGCCATACATCAATACAAAGCCTTCAGCAAGGGATTTCATCAACGAAGCTACTGGGAAGTGACTTGAGACAACGTCTTGGACAATTGCACAATCTCACACAGACCATTCAACAAGATATGTCATCTGCAGAACTCAAGTGGAACAAAATCGAACACCATTTGGTCAAAGCCTTGAACGATCTCAAGGATCCCGTGCAGCGCATTGCTGAAGATATATCTAGTGTAAAAGATAATCTAAAGGAAAAGGAGCGAGTAAAGGTTTTTGAGTGGCTTACAACGATACCAAGCTCTAGCCACCACAGGGAAAAATCGCGGAGCTTATTATCTGGTTCTTGCAATTGGCTGTTGAGAAAGAAGGAATTCAAGGAATGGATGGAGGCTAGTACATCTTCCATCTTGTGGCTCCATGGAATCCCCGGCAGTGGGAAGAGCATGCTTGTATGCCATGTTATCGAATATCTCCAAAGTCGAGCCCAACAGCATCAAAGCTCTGCACCTATTGCATACTTCTATTGTGTTCGAACTGTTAATGAACCTGAAAGGGCTAATCCAACAGAAATACTAAGAAACATACTAGAGCAGTTGTGCTCATTAGATGCGGAGACCCCAATAAGGGAACCTGTGTCAAAACAATATCTTGCTCGGAAGAAGGAAGCCCGAGGACGAAAACCGGAGAGGCTCAGTCTCGAAGAAACGGTTAATATTATTCTAGAATTGTTAGAATCCAATCCTGCAACCATAGTCATTGATGGACTTGACGAATGCGATCCTATTAAAAGAAATGATTTGCTTCTCGGCCTGCAAAAGATCATCACGAAGTCAAACAATATCGTCAAAGTTTTTGTCAGTAGCAGAGATGACCATGACCTCGTTCACCATCTAGCTCGTTCCCCGAACCTATACATTCATGCGACTGACAATACTGGGGACATCATATTGTTCATCAAATCGCGCATTAAGGAGGCAATTCGACAAGATAAGCTTCTCTGCGGGCGTGTCTCAAGTCGCTTGGAGAACATCATCATTGGCAAGTTGATAAAGAAAGCTAATGGCATGTTTCGACTAGCAAGCATGCACATTGACAGCCTTTGTGATCCATATCGGGTTAAAACGGAAGCCAACGTGCATCACGCACTCGACCACCTACCGCAAGAATTGGGAAAGTCATATGATGTGGTGATATCGCAGATCGTCCAAGCCGAATATCCTAATCCACTGTTAGCGTCACGTGCATTGAAATGGCTTCTTTGCTCCCGCGAAGCTCTGAACTCTAAAACCCTCCCGCAAGCCATTTTTGTGAATAACGCAGGCCACCCACTATTATCAAATGACGAAATCTTAAGCATCTGCTTCAACTTAGTAGTTTATAATGAAGAGACGGATAAGTTTCAGTTTGCTCATTTATCGGTGCGGGAATACCTTGAGTCCCAGCCTGGATACTCAGCTGAAGATACAAATCTGATGGCCGCGGAAGCATGTTTAACTTGTATCATGTCAGAATCACAAGAACGCCCTACGTTTAGGAACCACGCAGTAGGTTTTTGGGGTAATTATGCGAAATCGGCTCCCAGTGCAAGACGTGAGGGTGCTTTAGGAGAGTTACTCGTAGACTTTCTAGTTTCTCCTTTTGAATCAAGGATTGAGCTCGCTACGACTAGGCTTGCTTCTTACCTGCGGAGATATGAAGCTTACTTGCGCCCCGACTGGATCAAGGATGAAAATGAAGAAATGTTCATTTGGACTATATTTCTGGCCTGTAAGTATGATCTCAATGAGATTGTTAGTCGACTTATTCCTCGTGCCGATTGCGAATATATTTGCACTGGGAAAAGCTCGATGGGTCTCAATTGTGTCCAAATCTCAGCATATTTTGATAGCCCGACGACTATCAATCTACTACACGATATAACAAAGTCTCTACTGCCAAAAAGTCTCAACTATGATTTGTATTGGAATTCTGCGTATTATATTGCATCACACAAAGGGAGCAGGCGGGCAGCCCAGGTAATATCAGAGATCCGAACGAAGCAAAAGAAGTTGTGCACGCAGCCTAGAAAGTACTGTGTCAAGCCCATCTTCAATCACTGGGTCAACGCAAGTTTACTCGCCTCCCAATGCTCCCCTGAGACTGAATCCCGAGAAGTGATGCCACCCACGGCGCTGCTTCAGAAAAACGACGCCGACATAGCATCAACGCTTTTCAAATCCTTCGATGAGTGCATCGGATTATGTGATGAATGCACCTTTTCGATTCTGACGCCCCTCGATATGGTGAGCTTGAATATTGCGAACGCTTTTCTCCATTTCAACGCTGTCGAAAACGATACACTGTCTGCAAAACAAAGAAAGGTTGCTGCCATGGCTAAGATCATTTCGGATGTAATAAATATTCGCAGAAAAAGTATGTTTGAAGCTAGTGAAGTCTCTTGGGTGACATCGATTTTAGCATTCACATTGATTTTCGATTATCAAATTGATTGGGAAATCTTCAAACATCATTTAGGGGAGGCATTTTTATATATGTCCTTACACGAAAAGCAGTCGCCCTATTATTATGGCACTTGGTACGGTAACTTTTGTGATTTATTAGACAAAGCGGTACGAATTAGAGACGTCTTAGATGAACAGAATGCCATCAATTGGGACGCCCTCCTTCTGGCGCGACGCCTAGATAACGGCCGAGACGTTCTTCTCGCATTGCTTAGAGCGCGCACGAAAATAGCCCCAAACATAATCAACCTTGCATTGTCCACCTGGGATGGAGAAATGATAGAGGCGTTTTTAAAGTACAATTCGGTTAAGATTGACAATGAAGTGATTCGGTTCGTGGCGGGTAATATAAAGCATGGCAAGAAGATAATGGAGATGTTATTGGCTCGAGAAATGGAAACAGAAATGTCGGAAACTGCGCTCGAAACTACGCTTGAAAGCGCGCAGTAGTTGGGGTTTGCAGTCGTACAATGGAAGAGTGTTCATATTGGGATCCTCTGGATCATTTAAATTGTTTCAAACTTGAATATTTTCCCTGGGCGTTGCATCATATCGAGAAATTCACAATGTTCAAACTTTAAAAGCTTTCACATCTGGTCTACCAAGCCAGATCGCTCGATAACCTGTTGCGCGTACAATCAGGAGAAGGATCGCTAAAGACTGAACTCAGTTGTATGGCCGGTTAATTCGCTGGTTTGCGTAAGGCCATAGGTTTTATCAGTTCGTAATACTTTGTGTTATTCGACTATCTCTTCATAATGATAATCAATGCAAACTTTCCAAGTACTCACTTTGAGTGATTGAAGGCTCAAATAGACGGTGAATACTCTAGAATCAGTACTACATACCAGTCAAGTTAGCCTTTCAGTGAAATAGCTTGGAAGAAATTTAGCTCGGAATCAAATTCTTTTGATTTAATAGGAGACCTTTCAAAGTACCACTCAGCCATAGGCAAGTGATGAAAAGGCCAAATTGACAGCAGCTTCGAGGAAATCAGAAAGTGTATTCTCTTGCTCTCTCAAACGGGGAACTGTTTGAGACATCATTCCTGTCCTTTTTGGTTGGTATTAGACTGAATTCCATTCCCGTTCATCCAGGCCGCAGATGTCCTTATATTGGTTGATAATGTGGAGCAAATCGTAAATACGCGAGGGCAAAGGAGAGCAGAATTCGACACAATCTGGGATTAATCAGTAAATGACAGGAGAAATATGCAAAAATAACTATCTGCCGTATTGGATATATCGTAGAATTGGGATGTTTCGTGTTTTTATATATAATGCGCAGAGATTGTACGGTGCATATGCCGTGTTATCCCAGGTAATGTTAGTATCACTTATATGGTAAATATACAGTCTGAAGCTTTGAGACGATATAGTCTCAGTATCTAGATTAGCGTTAATTTGGGGTCTAATGTTTGAATAAAATTAGATGCTATTGCGCAGGGTGAAGTTGAGGATCAGGAGATCTAGTGTCTATGTGATGAGAGTGACCATATATGAGGCGAAGATGGAGGGGTATGGATAAGGCGCGATGCTGATGAGAAATTGCGGTGAACAAGATGCATTCTTTCTCTCCAAAAGATTATTAATATTCGACGTCAACTGCAAGGAAAAACATGATTGTAATTCTGTTCCTAACGCAAAGGGTGAAAAATGTGAGGACATAAGTATACTTTCTAAAATACAAACTTCGCTTAAATACGAAAAATAATATCCAATTCCTCGTACAGAGTCTAAGCATCTAACTTTAATCTTTCTAACAAGTTGTCTATCTTTCCAAGTAACGTTTGGTAGTTTATAGCATCTGCGGCAAACTCGTCACCTGCAATCTCACCATTGAGAGTCCGTATTTGACCATTCATCATTGGATCGAGGGCAGGGGATTGGGTTGGGTTTATATCAACCACTGTGCTAGACTTCACAGCATTTGCAGATGTAACATCGTCGATTACTCCCTTTTCATCTCCGTTTTCTTCACCGTTCTCATTTATATTCTCGTCCATCATATCTTCAAGGCCCGAGTCTTCAAATCGGAGCCTGAAGCGTTCGGATAGGTAAAAGCGAATACTAGAGAAATGTCAGTTATTTAACTAGAGAGAGTGTTTCAATCGGAAACAAGCCCTCAAATTTCTTCCAAGGCTTTTTTATGTTCTCTAAACAAAAGCCAAATTCTTAAAAGTAAGGAGAAGAGGAATTTGGTAACATACTCATCGAGTAATTCAATAGTGTCAGTCTCCTGTCTCTTTTCAATTCTAGCAGCACTCTCTTTAATCAACTCCTCAAACTCTGGCTCGTCAATATAGTCCTCCAACCTATATGCCATGTACCTAGCACAAAATTCCTCTAGTCTTTGGACTCTTGTCAACCATCCAGCTCTCATAACATCATAAGGGTTGATTAATTCCACATCTAATTCATCACTGTCGGTGTGTGTACGATCAGCGAGTGTGCTCGAACCATTTCCGAGAGTACTAATTACTACTGCAGCTTTAGTTTTGAGTTTCTCAATGAAGAGCATGTCTGCTGCAAGAAGAACGTCTATAGCGAGATCAAGAGGAATATCAACATTCTCAGTGTAAAGAAAGTCGAGGATAAGCTCTAGTACAGCAGGGGGACAGTCGACATAGATGATTTGCAAATAATCAGTAACTTGCGCTTCTTGAAACGAGGAACTAAACATCGTTTGGAAGTATTCTGATCGTATAAGCATAGCGCGGTGCGCAGGATAGAGTATAGATTTCTGAGATGAATTGGCGGTTGATGTCTCTTGGGGCGATGAGCTCGAGGGGCCAATAGGAATACCATTTGAGAAAACAGTTGTGTTAGGTGTTGGCGTTTCTGGCCTTGAACTCAAAGCCTCATCGGAAACTACGTTTTCGTTTGCCTGTAACAGAACGTCTGCAAAAATGGAATTATTCCTAGTCCACTTCACATTCTTGGCCTTCACGGTATCGATGTGTATCTTATGCTTCAAAACATTACCTCGATACCAAGACTCCATCTGGTTCCTTGCTCGTAAAACTTCATCTTGATACCGTTGTCGAGCTATTCTCCTATCACGCCCACTCAAGAGCCCTTCCCAGAGGGATTCAATCTCAAGCTGTTTGCTGATTTTGTCAATCCCTTTGAGCACATCGTCCACAGAGCTGCTAGACCTAAGACCAAGATCTGATGGCACTTCACCCATGTATAAATATCGAAAAGCAACCTGGAAACATTCTGGGGGAATGGAAGGTTCTAATTTCCATGACTTGGTTTCTGGGGCAGCAGAAAGCTTTCTTTGCATATATGGTGACCGGGCAGAAAGTATCATCTTGTGTAAATTCCATGATTCTGATCCAGCACTGAGTATTATGTCTGAAGTTTCAGGAGTCTGCCTAGTAAGGAGAGAAGTGATATGAGAAGCAAATGATTGTAATGGGTCCCTAGACTTCGAATATTCGTACTTTAATAAAAGGTTTCGAATTCGATCGTTTAATGCATTGTATAAACATCTCTCTCCTTGGAATGTATCGCGCTCGCAGAGAGCTCCAGCTTCGAGGAGAAGTTGAACAACATTGTAATGTCCACATAGACTTGCCTTGATAGTTTGTCAGCGAGGCCAATTGGCATTAGGAATAACATAAAGCTTACCAAGATCAATGGCGTATAGTCAAAGGGATCTCTAGCATTGATATTGATTCCAGGAGTAGTAATTGCTTGCTGAACCCTCTTAACATCACCAATTCTACAAGCAACGCAAAGTTCTTGGAATTCGGGACTAGTATCAAGGGGACTTTCGTCTCTCAAAAGTCCTTCCTTGATCAGCTGGTGCTCATCCTTCAGTTGAACTTCGAGCTCATCTTTCCGTTTTACCATTCTGAAGGTATGTGTGCAAAGAGTATGAAGTAGAAGATATGGGAGTAATGAGCAATGAATAATCGATAGTGAATGGCAAAGGATATGGACCCAGTAGTGATAATAATAATAAAACAGATAAAGATACAAAATTGTGGCAAGGTTGAGAAGCTGCTGATTTTGACACAAGCACATGGAGGGGAAGAAAGCTTATCGATAAAAGAAATCCGGATAAGGGATCGGAGTTAGATGTTTCAACCGTCATCCAAATTTCGAACCTTCACCGCCTTCTGGCATTATCAAAATTTCCCCGGGTGATGTCCAATTCTAGTTTGGTATCAAATAGTCAAACGGTTGGAAGGGCAACCAAAAAGTAAACACCAACCTGAATGAATTAATTCACAATCCATCTTCATCAACTTTGAATAAAACGACAAAACATCGCCAACCTCGAATAAATTACAACAATACTAATGTTAATTGCTTTCTTTATTTAGATCAATGCAAAGATCTTCCCTCCCTTAAATATAATATTTTCGGAATCATGACAGAAGAAAGCAAGTACGAAGTTTTGGAGAAGATAGGTAAGTCTGCAGGACGTGGTTCATATTGGATTTATTACTCGTTGCGCCAACTCTTAAGTGAGACAAAACTAATATACTCTATCTATTCTGTAGGACATGGCTCTTTTGGTGTCATTCGAAAGGTCCGAAGAAAGAATAATGGAGAAATCTTATGTAGGAAGGAGATTAACTACATGCGGATGTCACAAAAAGAACGAGAACAACTGCAAGCCGAATTCGCCATTCTTTCCTCACTTAAACATCCAAACATCGTCGGATACTACCATCGAGAGCATCTAAAGTCCAGTCAAGACCTTCATTTGTATATGGAATACTGTGGCAATGGGGATCTTGGTAGAATTATAAAGGATTTACAAGCAAAAAACAAGTATGCTGAAGAGGGTTTCGTTTGGAGCATATTCGCACAATTGGTTTCAGCATTGTATAGATGTCATTATGGAGTCGATCCACCAGAAGTTGGAAGCAATGTTATGGGATTGGGAAATACCGCCAAACCACAAAAGCCTGCGCCTGGTGTCATGATTCTACACCGAGACTTGAAGCCCGAAAACAGTGAGTATCCTAGGCATATACAATTATGTTTCTTATGCTAAATCTTATAGTCTTCCTTGGTGAAGGCAACTCGGTGAAGCTTGGAGATTTTGGTCTTTCGAAATTGATGGAATCTCACGATTTTGCTTCTACATATGTTGGAACTCCATTCTATATGTCCCCAGAAATCTGCGCCGCAGAACGATATACGTTAAAGTCAGATATTTGGTCTTTGGGTTGCATTATGTACGAGCTCTGCACACGAGAAGTTCCATTTAACGCGAAATCCCACTTTCAACTTGTGCAGAAGATTAAAGAGGGCAAAGTCACACCAATACCAAATATATATTCGCCAGAACTTGCATCTGTTATCAAGGACTGCCTTAGAGTCAACCCCGATCGACGAGTCGACACCGTTACATTGCTTAATCTCCCTGTCGTAAAGTTAATGAGGAAGGAGAAAGAGGTTGTTGAGCTCGGTCGACTTTTGAGGACG